ATGTTGGTCAGGCTGGTCTCAAACTCCCTACCTCAGGTGATCCACCCGCCTCGACCTCCTAAAGTGCTGGGATAACAGGCGTGAGCCACTGCGCCCAGGCTATTTATTTATTTTTAAAACGGAGTCTCGCTGTGTCACCCAGGCTGGAGTGCAATCGCGTGATCTAGGCTCACTGCAACCTTCACCTCCCAGGTTCAAGCAATTCTCCTGTCTCAGCCTCCCAAGTAGCTGGGACTGTAGGCACGCAGCACCATGCCCAGCTAATTTTTGTATTTTTAGTAGAGATGGGGTTTCACTTGTTTTCTTTATTGTTAATTCGAACTCACACACAGTGTTAGAACTCTGGTACAACCCATCATTCACCAGTTTTGAACTTAGTTACACTGCTGCAGTGTCAGCTGCTCTCTTCCTTTTCTTTTGGGGATTTTTAGCTAGTCCTTTTTTTCTTTGTCCCTGATATATCCTTTACACTTCATTTCTTCCCTGACTTCTATCTGAGATACGAATAGTGCCAGTTCCAAGAGATCTTATTATTAGACTTAGTACATTGCAGCTATTTGTGTGTGTGTGTGTGTGTGTGTGTGTGTGTGTGTGTGTGTATGACTTTATAGGAGTAGCTCAATTAAACTTTCTCATGAGTTTAGTATGAACTCTTCTTATTCATTTTTACTCAGGCTTTACTTCTGGTCCCATAAAGAATGTCTAGACAGAGGCAGGCCCAGATTGGCCTTATCACCCTTGGTTCATTCTGGAAATCATGGCTAGAATAGTGTGTCTGAAAATAGGATTGGGTTAGAAGAAAGCTTAAATGCAACGTAATTTTCTTTTGGAATGTGGCTCTTTTGCTGGTTATTTCCAGCATCATATAATGAATGGCCTGAGTGGATGCTTTCTTTTGTGAAAACTGTAATGTGTGTTAACATATGTAGCTTGTAGAAATGGAGAGAGTGGATAAAGAGATAAATAGGTCAAATACTGGATCATGTTTTCTTGGGAGGGATAGAAGGTTTTTTCATATTATAATTTAAGGGCATAAGTAACTACGGAATTTTTGACCTATTCTTTCTACTTTGCAGTAAATATTAATGGCTTATTGGAAGGAAAAAAGACTACCTTGTTTTTCTTTCTGAGCTATCACTAGGAGTAAGAAAAAATCTGATTGGAAAAAGTAACCTCTGATAAAGGATTTTAACTGGTATCAGGGCTTATATTTATTCATTACATTTCTTTCTTGCATACTTTGGATGATGATATGCTTAAGAGATAAAGTTTTTTTATTTGGGAAGATTTATGAAATCTTTGCGGAAGGTCTCAGTTGTAAATACATCCCTTGTCTGGGTTGCACATGTTTTATGGCTACTATAGCTCAGTTTGGAAATGGTTCTTGTTGCATTATCACAGCTTATTTTCAAATTAATAGATTTTCTTTTTGGGGGAAATTAATGTCATGTAGGAAGATATTTGTAATATGAGGATTATAGTTTTTATGTCTGTTATTAAACAAAAGATTGCCTCTTGAAGTAACTATGTTTCATTATTTTATATTTCACATTTTAACATCTGAAATCTTCAATTTACTGATGGTGTACTGGTTAATTGGCAAGGTTTTTATTTATTAGCTGTACATGGAGTAACGTCTCTTCTTAACAATTAGTGATTTTTTAAAAAATTTGCGATGGAGTCTTACTCTGTGGCCCAGGCTGGAGTGCGGTGGTGCAGTCTGGGCTCACTGCAAGCTCTGCCTCCCAGGTTCACCCCATTCTCCTGCCTCAGCCTCCTGAGTAGCTGGGACTACAGGCGCCTGCCACCATGCCCGGCTAATTTTTTTTTTTTGTATTTTTAGTAGAGAGGGGAGTGCACCATGTTAGCTAGGATGGTCCCGATCTCATGACCTCGTGATCCGCCCGCCTCGGCCTCCTAAAGTGCTGGGATTACAAAGGCGTGAGCCACCGCGCCTGGCCAGTGATATCTTGAATTTGATGAAATACAGCAGTTTACTATTCAGTTTACTCATGATTTAGCCCCAGAAACACTGAGCTAGTGCTGAGATTGGTAGAGTGAGGTGAGTAGCAGTGAGGTAGGTAGAATGTTTTTTTTTTTTTTTTTTTTTTGCGACGGAGTCTCGCTGTGTCGCCAGGCTGGAGTGCAGTGGCGCAGTCTGGGCTCGACGCGATCTGGGCTTGACGTGATCTCAGCTCACCGCAACCTCCGCCTCCCGGATTCAAGCGATTCTCCTGCCTCAGCCTCCGGAGTAGCTGGGACTACAGCCAGCGCACCATCAAGCCTGGCTAATTTTTCTATTTTTAGTAGAGACTAAAATTTCTACTATTTTTAGTAGAATTTCACCATGTTGGTCATAATGGTCCCGATCTCTTGACCTCGTAATCCGCCGGCCTCAGCCTCCTAACGTGCTGGGATTACAGGTGTGAGCCACCGCGCCCGGCCAGTAGAATATGTATTTTGTGTCTTTTTTTTTTTTTCTTTTCCGAGATGGAGTCTGTGTGCTCCCCCAGGCTGGAGTGCAGTGGCGCGGTCTCGGCTCACTGCAAGCTCCGCCTCCCGGATTCGCGCCATTCTCTTTCCTCAGCCTCCGGAGTAGCTGGGACTAAAGGCGCCCGCCACTACGCCCGGCTAATTTTTTTGTATTTTTAGTAGAGACGGGGTTTCACTGTGTTAGCCGGGATGGTCTGGATCTCCTGACCTCATGATCCGCCCTAAAGTGCTGCGATTACAGGCATGAGCCACCGCGCCTGGCCTGTTTTGTGTCTTTTTAAAGGCTTTTACATATCTCAGCTTCGATGAGAGGATCAGGATGTGTAAGGACTTCAAGCTAAACATAATAATGAATACTCACATTATATAGGCTTCATTAAAATCCCTAATGAGGCTAGGCACGGTGGCTCATGCCTGTAATCCTAGCACTTTGGGAGGCTGAGGCAGGAGAATAGCTTGAACCTGGAAGGCCGAGGTTTTGGCGAGCCAAGATCGCGCCACTGCACTCCAGCATGGGCAATAGTGAGACTCTGTCTCAAATAAATAAGTAAAAGCCCTAATGGAGTCCTAAACTGCAGCGAATGTTCCTGTCTTTTCACATAAAGGATTACATAATTCGCCCTTTGCCCTCTCCTGAATCTATTCTCCCTCTCCAAGATTTCATTCTGTCTCCAGATTTCAGCTCTAACCTCTAATTGTTTTCTTGGTGCTTTGGTGCTGTTGTCTTCCTCCCTTGTCATTGACTTGTTTTTTTTTTAAACTAGTAGACTTTTTTTTGGGAGGGAGCAGTTTTCGGTTTACAGAAAAATGGATGGAAAGTATGGAAAGTTCTTATACATCCTCCCTTATCTCCCAAATTTCTTCAGTTAGCATCTTGCATTGGTGTGGTACATTTGTTATAACTGATGAGCCAATATTGATGCACATTGTTACTAACTAAAATCCATAGATTAAGTAGGGTTCACTGTGTTGTACATTCAATGAATTTTGACAAATATATAATGACTTATATCCACCATTACCATATCATACAGAATAGTTTCATTGTCCGAAACATCCTATGTGTGAGTTTTTTGCTCATGCTGCTAATAAAGATACATCCAAGACTAGGTAATTCATAAAGGAAAGAGGTTTAATGAACTCATAGTTCCACATGGCTGGGGGGGCCTCACAATCATAGCAGAAGAGGAAGGAGGAGCAGAGGGACATCTTACATGGTGGCTGGCAAGAGAGAATGAGAAACCCCTTATAAAACCATCAGATCTGGTGAGACTTCTTCACTACCAGGAGACAGTATGGGGGAAACTGCCTCCATCTTTCAGTTTTCTCTCACAGGGTCCCTCCCACAACACATGGGAATTATGGGAGCTACAATTCAAGATAAGATTTGGGTTGGGATCACAATTAAACCGTATCACCCTATTTCTACTTATGCATTCCTCCTTTCTTGTCCCCACTCCAGCCCCTGACAACCAGTGGTCTTTTTACTGTCTTCCATAGGTTGCCTTTTTCAGAATAAAATATAGTTGGAGTCATACAGATTGGCTTCTTTCACTTAGCAATATTCTTTTAAGGTTCCTCTGTGTCTTTCATGGCTTGATAACTCGTTTCTTTTTATCACGGAATAATATTTCATTGTATAGATGTAACACAGTTTGTTTATCCAGTCACCCATTGAAGGATAGCTTGATGCTTCCAAGGTTTGGCAATTATGAATAGGAAGTTAGCCTTTTAAAACACAAATATTATATAAAGTGCCTCAAGTCACCTACTTAAAAAAGGTTGCACTAACTCAGTATCTTAAGCCCTAAAGAATGATAACTCTTATTTTTGTGTAAATATTTCTAATTGTGTAGTTGGCTCATAACAATGCTCAGTAAATGTGTGTGAAATGATTGAATATGAAAGAAGGAAGGAGGAATTGAAGATAAAAAATAGAGAAAAGATTATATCCTAAATCTGAATACTTTTAGGAAAATGAGATTATCTTGAAACTCAGCTGGAAACTCTAATGGGAACCAAGATGGTCAGGGCTCTGAATTAAATCATTAACTTGAAAACACTCCAGAGTTTTTTATTCCTAATTCTTGTACTTTAAAGTATATACATTTTAATATAATATACATTTTAATGTACATCTTATATACTTTAAAGCATATACATTTTAATATACACATCTTTTTATAGCTCCCAACTATAGAGCTGCCTCTATAGTTCCAGCTCTATTGTAGGCCAAAGTGTGTTCCCTATAATGCCCATATAAAAAAGCCTCATATAGGTTGTCTGTCACTCTAGTACCCTACAACATAAAATGTTCTAATGTAATTATAAGCTAGAAAAGTATTATTTCCTAAATTATTTTATGAATTTATAGCCTTATTGTTATGCTGACATTTTGTTTTTCTTTAAATGAATCTTTAATGTATTTAGCTTCCCTCCATTTTAAACTAGTTTAGCTTTTTTTTTTTTTTTTAATAATGTCTATGTTTTTGCTTTCTTCATTATAGAACGGTGGCAGCTGAAGTTAGGAAGCAGATCTCCGGACAATATAGTGGTTCTCCCCAACTGCTCAAAAACCTTAATATTGTTGGCAATATATCCCATCACACCACAGTAAGTAACGTATTCAAAATATAGTATGTCATTGGTGTATGATTGACTAGGCCATGAAAAAATAGTGGAAAGATAAGAACTAATTGGGTTCCATCATTAATCTCATAACCTTACTTGTTGTTACCTCATTTTGTTGAAATCTGTGTTGGGAGAGGATGTTATGGGGTGTCATAGAATTGCTAGTTTCCTAGTCAACTCTGAAACTTTATATTCAGGATTTAATCAATCCTGGAATTTTACATTTATAACTTTTTTTTTTCCCTTCTATTTTTGAGACCGAGTCTCGCTTTTGTCGCCCAGGCTGGAGTACAATGGCGCGTTCTCGGCTCATTGCAACCTCCACCTCCTGGGTTCCAGTGATTCTCCTGCCTTAGCTTCCCGTGTAGCTGGGACTACAGGCATGTGCCACCATGCCCAGCTAATTTTTGTGTTTTTAGTAGAGATGGGGTTTTACCATATTGGCCAGGCTGGCTCGAACTCCTGACCTTGTGATCCGCCCTCCTCGGCCTCCCAAATTGCTGAGATTACAGGTGGGAGCCACCGCATCCAGCCTTAGAACTTTTAAAGACAGAAGGTGATTCATTATGTGAAAATTTAGGAATCTATTCTAGAAACAAGCACCAAAGTAAATAATTATATGGGTTTGTAGAATTATCTGTTGCCTTTAAGATAAATGAATTTATATTTATTGAATTATTACTGTAAGCCCAGTACTGTGTCAGAGACATAAATGTTCTCTTATTAAAGAAGCTGGCATGAGGAAATTCAGTTTTGATAAAAACTAATAGTATTTATTATGTTAGAAATATGAATTAAAAACATACCTGTATTTGTCTTAAAATTAGAGGTCATTTTTACAAAATGCTCTGGAAAACTAAAAAAGCAAATAAGCATGATAGGGTGGAGTTATAGATTAGCATTTTCCATTTAGCTGTGAAAGGGTACCTGTTATTGAACAAACTGGGAAATAACAGTTTGATCGACTTGTAATGATATATTTATAACGTTGTACTAAAATTTGAAAACATTAAGTTTACTTTTAATTACAGTAACATGCTAATTGGAGAAATTTTAGAATATATGGATTTCTTGCTGATTTCAATGTACATGGAGATAATCCTTCCAAAATGCTCTTGGTGTCTTGAATGCCCCTCTTCCAGTGATACTATTTTGCATCCTGAATTACACCTTAACTACTCAAAATTTCTATAATCAGACCTTAGATTTTTGTCATTATGAATAACTATAACCCATGTGTAATCTTAGTTTTATGCTTCCCATCTCTGATCACCACCTCTTATCTTTATGGTCTTCTTGTTATTGTACCCTGACTCCAATTGTCCTTCCACATCACCAGGACCTAGAATCCATGAACTCATTGAATTAGACATATGTAGCGACTTCCCAGGTTTTGTTGTTGTTTTCACTGAGTACTTATTTGTGACATTTTAAATTCAGAGCTGTATACTGCCCTAGAAATAATATCTGGGCAAAAAGCGCTGAATGAGAAAAAAAAATTGAATTTTAAAAAAATTTTATGTATGTGTAATATATACTCACATGCTATACTTATATACATAATAGATATAGTGGTAAAATATACGTAACATAAAATTTACCATTCTAACCAGTTTTATTTATACAATTCACTGGCATTAAGTACATTTACTGTGTTGTACAACCATCACCACTGTTTATCTCCAGAACTTTTTCATTATCCCAAACTGAAACCCTGTACCCATTAAACAACAACTTCCCATTTCCCCCCCTTCTCAACTCCTGATAATATCTTATCTTTCCTGCCTTTATGAATTTGCCTCTTCTGTGTACCTGATGTAAGTGGAATCATACAATATTTGCCCTTTCGTGTCTAGCTTATTTTACTTACTTAGCAGAATGTTTTAAAGGTTTATTCAGGTTGTAGCCTGTATCTTTTTTTTTTTTTTTTTTTTTCCAGACAGATTCTTGCTTTATCATCCAGGCTGAGTACAGTAGTACCATCATAGCTCACTGCAGCCTTGACCTTCCAGGCTCAAGTGATCCTCCCCTATCAGCCTTCTAAGTAGTTGGGACTACAGGCGCATGCCATCATGCCTCGCTAATTTTTGTATTTTGTGTAGAGACGGGGTCTCACTATGTTGCCTAGGCTGGTCTTGAACTCCTGGGCTCAAGTGATCCTCCTTTTTGGCCTCCCAAAATGTTGGGATTATAGACGTGAGCCACTATCCCTGGCTGATTTAATTCCTTTTTAAGGCTTAATAGTATTCCATTGTATGTATATGTCACATTGTATTTATTCATTAATTTTGATGGACATTGGGGTCGTTTCCAAACTTTTGGCTATTGTGAATAACTGCTATGAACATGAGAGTACAATTATCTTTTTGAGTCACTATTTTCAGTTCTTTTGGGTGTATACCTAGAACTGGAATTGCTAGATGATAGAGTAATTCTGTGTTTATTGTATGCTTTTTGAGGAACCACCAATCTGTTTTTCTTAGCAACTGTATCATTTTACATTTCCACCATCAATGCACAAGGGTTCAAATTTCTCCATATTGTTGTCCACACTTGTTATTAACCATTTAAAAAATAATAGCCATTCTAATGGGTACGAAGTGGTATCTCACTTATATTTTTGGTTTACATTTCCCTATCTGCAAATTTTATGTTGTATTTTCATTTCGTTCAGTGTATTTTTTTCATTTCATTTTTCAGACTTTTGTAACTTATGGATTATTTAGAAGTATGTTTAATTTCTAAGTGTTTGGAGATTTTCCTGTTATCTTTCTGTTGCCACTTTCTAGTTTGATTCTGTTATAGTCAGAGAACACATTCTGTCTGATTTCAGTTCTTTTAAATTTGTTGAAGTTTGTTTTATGGGTCAGAATATGGTCTGTCTTGGTGTATACTTTTGGGACCTTTGTAATGAATGTATATTCTGTTGTCATCGGGTGGAGTGTTCTATAAATGTCAGTTAGATCTATTGGTTGAGGGTGCTTTTGAATTATACTATATCCTTGTTGATTTTCTAGAATCTGCAGAAAAGCGATCTCTTGATTTCTGCAAGTATAATTGTGATATGTCTTACTTATTCTTTCAGTTCAATCAGTTTTTGCTACACCTACTTTATAGCTCTGTTATTTAGTACATACACAGAGTATAACTCTGTTATTTAGTACATACACATTTAAGATTGTTATGTCCTCTTGGATCATTCCTTTTATAATCAAGGTAATGTCACTCTCTATTTGGTACTGTTGTTTGCTCTGAAGTCTGCACTTTCCCTTATTAACTTAGCCACTTCTGCTATCTTTTGAGTAATGGTCACCTGGTATATCTTTTTCCATACTTCTATTTTCAACCTACCTATGTTGTGTTATTTGAAGTGAGTTATTTGTAGATACCACATTGTTAGGTCATATTTTTAAGTCCATTCTGCTAGTCTCTTACTTTTACATTTATGTTTATAATATAATGTATAAATTTATAATTGAATGTTGTTACTCTGTTAGGGTTTAAATCTACCATTTTATTTTTTGTTTATTCTGTTTTTCATCTCTCTGTTTTCTTTTTTCTACTTCTCCAGGGTTACCTAAATGTTTTTTAGGATTCCATTTTGATTTATAGTGTTGTTGAGAGTATCTCTTTATATAGCTTTTTAGTGGCTGTACAAGGTATTGTGTTATATACGTGACTTATCACAGTATTGGTGTTCATATATTACCAGTTTGAGTAAAGTATAGAAACGTTACCTATTTTTACATCCCTTTACCGTCTCCTATACATAATTGTCTTAAACATTTTCTCTATATACACTTAGAATCATATTGGACAATTTAGAAAAGTCAAGAGAAAAAGGAAAGTCTATTGTATTTACCTATATTTTTTGCTCGTGCTGTATTTGTTTTTCCTTCCTAATATTTCCAGATACCTTTTACTATTTCCTTTTGGTTTAAGGAATTTCTTTTAGCCATTCTTTTAGAATAGATCTGCTGGTGACAGAGTCTCTTAGTTTTTCTTTAACAGAGTATGTCTTGATTTCCCCTTCATTCTTTTTTTTTTTCTTTTGAGACAGTGGTGTCACTCTGTCACCCAGTGTGGGTGATGTAATCTCAGCTTACTGCAACCTCTGCCTCCCAGGCGTAATTCTCCCACTTCAGCCGTCGGAGTAGCTGGGACCACAGGTGCATGCCACCATGCCTGGCTAATATTTTGTATATTTTTGGTATAGTTGAGGTTTTGCCATGTTTCCTAGGCTGGCCTTGAACTCCTGAGCATAGGCGATCCACCTGCCTTGGCCTCCCAAAGTGCTGGGATTATAGCCATGAGCTACTGTGCCCGGCCTTCCCCTTCATTCTTCAAAGATATTTGCAGGATCTAAAATTCCAGGTAGTCAGTTATTTTCTTACAGCACTTGAAAAATGTTGTGCCACTTTTTGACTGTCATGATTTTTTATGAGAAATTTGTAAGTTGAATTCTTTTCCTCCTAGAGGTAAGGTGTCATTTTCTCCTCACTGCTTTAAGGATTTTGTTTTATTTTATTTTATTTTGGAGACTGAGTCTCGCTGTGTCCCCCAGGCTAGAGTGCAGTGGTGCAATCTTGGCTCACTGCAACGTCTGCCTCCTGGAGGCAGATTCAAGCGATTCTCATGCCGCAGCCTACCGAGTAGCTGGGATTACAGGCCGAGTAGCTGGGATTACAGGCGCCCGCTACCATGCCTGGCTAATTTTTATATTTTTAGTAGAGATGGGGTTTCACCCTGTTTGCCAGGCTGGTCTTGAACTCCTGACCTCAGGTGATCCGCCCGCCTCTGCCTCCCAAAGTCCTTGGATTACAGGTGTTAGCCACTGCACCTGGCCTTTCTTTTTCTTTTTTTAAATCTGCATTTGGTTGCTGTGTCATGGTACATATTTCTCTGGGTTTATCCTGTTTAAAGTTTGCTTAGCTTCTTGTTTCTGTAGGCTTATGTCTTTTTATGAAATTTAGAAGTTTTTAGCCATTGTTTTTTCAGATATGTTTCAGCCCCGTCTTCTTTTTCCTCACTTTCTAGGACTCTGGTGGTGCCAGTATTGGATATTCTAGTGTAGTTTGTCCCTGAAGATGCTTTCTATTTTTGTTTTTGTTTTGTTTTGATTTTTCAGTCTGTTTTTCTTTTAATGCTGTTCAGATTGGATAATTTCGATTTTTCTTTCTTCAAGGTAACCGATTTTTACTTCCTCTATCCCCTCTTTTCTACTATTGAATTTATCTATTAAATTTTAAATTTTGGTCAGTGTGTTTTTCAGTTACAAAATTTCCATTTAGTTCTTTGTATCTTCTGCTTCTTTGCCGAGAGTTTGTTTCTTTACAGAGAGTTTCTGGTTTTTCATTTATTTTAAGAGGGTTTACAATTGCTGTTGAATTATTTTTCTGATGTTTGCCTTAAAATCTTTGTCATATAATGCCAAGATCACTTATCTTGGTATTGACATCTACAGGTTGTCTTTTTAATTAGAGTTAAGATTTTCCTTGTTCTTAGTATGATGAGAGATTTTTGATTGGAACTTGTACCTTTTGGGTCTTATGTTGTGAATTTCTAGGTCTTATTTCAACATATTTTAGCTGGCTTTCTTTGATATTGCTCTAGTTATAGGTGGATGCTATCTTGTTTTGGACAGACAGAGTAGAAGTTCAGATTTCTTACTTGTCTTCTTTTGGTATACAAGGAGGGGAAGGATTCCTTGTTACTTATTGTCGAGCAGGAGGGAGAGTCCCCACTTCTGCTGGACCACAGCTCACACTACTTAGCTGGGAAGGGTAGTAGTGCTCCTTACTGTTCCTCACATGGCCTCTACTGACATCCAAGGGTGTGTGGCCTTGTTACACTGGGCATTGGTGAAAGTACTTACTCTCCACTGGACCTTCTCTGACAGTGCCCAAGTGATAAAGGAAAGAGGAGCCATGTTGCTGCTTCATAGGAGTTGATGTCCAGATTTCCTTAGTGGCCTCTGCTGACACGATGAGAGTCAGAGATTAATTATTGCTCGGTAGATATAAAAATCCCAACACCCTACTTGTACTTCTCTGATACTACCCTGGTGGGGAGAGTTGGGATGCCTTGTTACAGCTTGGTGAGGGTAGAAATATAGTTCCCCACTTGGCCTTTGAGCAGTTAAAGTCTAAATGTTTTTTGTTTTGTTAGGTTGCTTCTTTCTTGATCTTTTGGCTGGGGAAAACAGGCTCACCGCAACCCAGTCCCACTACCTCTAGTGCTTCTTGTTGTTTTCTGGGTTGTGGGCTTTTCTAGTTCTAAGTCTGGAATGTATAAGGCAAAAAGAAATGTTGAAGTAACTCACTGTTGTGCCATTCCCTGGGTTCTGATGTCCCTGCCGGCCAGCCGTTTTCTCTATACCTTTCAGAGTCTTCTTAGGTTTGTTTTCTATGTAGTATCTAGGCTGTTGTACTTAGTGGAAAGAATAGAGAAAAGTACTTCTACTTCATCTTTCCAGAAGGGAAAGTTTCCTTTAGTGACTTTTGATGTTTGAGCAGTTTTTTGTGTGCTTTATTTTTTCCCATTTATTTGAGGGTGTGACTTAAAAAAAAATTATTGAGATGTAGGACTTGTTCATATATTCTAAGTACTAGTCCTTTATCAAATATGTTTTGTAAGTTCTTTCTTTTAGTGTGGCTTGTTAATCATTTTCTTAACAGTGTCTTTTAATGAATCCAATTTTTCTTTTATGATTCTTTTTTCATGTCTAAGAAAACTTGGCCTATTCCCAAATTGTAAGGACATCCTGCTATGTTTTCTTGAAGTAGCTTTATAGTTTTAAACATGTATGTTTGTGTCTGTGATCCATCTCAGTTTAATTTTTATATATGTTGTGATACAGAGATTGGGGTTCATTTTTTAAATGTGGGTACCCAGTTCTAATAACAATGGTTCAAGAAGATTTCTCTTTTCCTGTTGGATTGCTTTCTTTTTCTTTGTTAAGAACATCATAGTATAATTTGTACTTAATAGGATAGGTGAGGTAGAATGCTTAAAATCGTAGAAAAAATTTTAGAGGTCGAAAACCCAGTTTCAAATTTCTGCTCTACCATTTTGTGGCTATTTTATTTTCAGTTGGTTGTTAACTTTTTTGAGCACAAATGCCCTTATTTGTAGAACTGAAATAGTAATTATATCTAGCTTACAGGGTTTGGGGGAGGTTTAAATGAGATAGCATATACTGATAATGATAAATAACTGCTATCTTTTGAGTGTTTAAGATGTGTTATTTATTATTTTACTCAATATCTTTAAAATGTTAAGTCTAGGCTGGGCGCCGTGGCTCACGCCTATAATCCCAGTGCTTTGGGAGGCCGAGGGAGGCAGATTGCTTGAGCTCAGGAGTTCCAAGATTAGCCTGGGCAACATGGCGAGACCCTGTCTCTACAAAAACATAAAAATTAGCCAGGCATGGTGGCTCACGCCTATAATCCCAGCTACTTGGGAGGCTGAGGTGGGAGAATCCCTTGAGCCCAGGAAGCAAAGGTTGCATGCAGTGAGCTGAAATTGCACCATTGCACTCCAGCCTGAATGACAGAGGAAGAGCCCATCTCAAAAAAAAAAAAAGTTCAGTCCAAAGAAGCATAGATTAAAGCACCGTCTGTTTAATAATGTACACCTGCGCAGAGGCAGGTTTCAGTGTTTTTATTCCAGATGAATATCCTGAGAAATAACATGTTCTTATTTTCATTGGTCTACAACTGCATATGTGTTATATATCCTTTATAGGTTTGTCTGAATATTTTTTTCTTTTTCAAACTAGATAAGAAGTATGATATTTTATTAAAAAGTATCTTGTTAAAAACTTGGCTGAAGAATGCTACCAGTCTTTTATTATTATTACTGGGTAGTTTTTATAGGGCCTGTGTATTCCTTTCCTATGGCTACTGTAACAAAGTGCTACAAACTGGGTGGCTTAAAATGAACGAAATTTATTCTCTCACAGTGCTAGAAGCCAAAAGTCTGAAATCAGTATCACTGGACTAGAATAAGGTTTTAGCAGGGCTGTGCTTTCTTCAGATGTTCTAGTGGAGTATCAGTTCCTTGTCTCTTCCAAATTCTGATGGCTTTGGCATTCTTTGACTTGTGATCATATCATCTCTATCTTTAAGGCCAGAATATTCAAATCTCTTTCTTTTTCATCTTTATACAACTTTTTTTCTCTCTGTGTATAGCCTAAATCTCCCTCTGTCTTCTCATGAGGATATATGTGATTGCATTTAGAAAGCACCTGGAAAATCCAGCATAATACCCTCGTTTTAAGAACCTTAATTACATCTGCAAAGACTTTTATTTTTTTCCATGTAAGGTAACATGTACAGGGCCCATGTGTTAGGATGTGGAGAATTTTTGGAGGGAAATTTTTTAGCCTACCCCAGTCTGATTATATGTTTTTACTAGGATACTAAACAAAAACAAGAAATAAAGTCAGAGCACTGTTTAGAAATGGAGCAACTTACTTTTTTTAATATCCAAAGATATAAAAAAGCAAAAATAATCCTTCCAGTGCGTACTTTGTAAACTATAAAGTAGAATAAAACTGTTAATTCTTACTAGTGTTTTTATGTGAGAGTTCTGGGCAAAGTGTCAGCAAGGACGTTAAAGAGAGTATGACCCAAAACATCGAGGAGTGCAAGAAGGGTAACACTTTGTGTTTTCTTTAGTGCGTCTGGTTGAATATCTGTTAAAATTTTAGAAAGAACTAGATTAAAAGCTTTTATTTTAAAAAATAATAAGTTATTTGCCTTAAGTTTTAAAATTACTTCATCTCTTATTTTCTACCCATCTCTTATCCCACCTTTTTACAAAGGTGCCCCTTACTGAAGCAGTAGATCCAGTGGATTTGGAAGATTACCTCATTACTCATCCTTTGGCTGTGGATTCTGGGCCTTTACGGGATTTGATTGAATTTCCTCCAGATGATATTGAAGTTGTTTATAGTCCTCGGGACTGCAGAACTCTTGTTTCAGCTGTACCTGAAGAAAGGTAAGGAGACATTGACCTGTTTTTGGCTTTAGAGTAACTATAGAAAGGCTACCTTCCATTATTTTATTTAGAGCCTATTTTCTTGTAGCATCATCATTTCCTGTTATGCGAACAGCAATTATAGCAACCAAATAAATGAACATCAGTGCTGTCCTGTCTGAATTACAAATGTATTTTCCTTTTTAAAATAGTGAAATGGATCCACATGTTAGAGACTGTATAAGAAGTTATACAGAAGACTGGGCAATTGTCATCAGAAAGTAAGTTATATGTTTATTACAACATTTACGAATACTGAGTAAGATTTCTAAACGGATTAAGGCAGATTCATAATGATTAAGAGACCTGAAAATTTATTTAAACGAAATAGCTGAAGAAACAAAAGAAGAACCTTTGTGTATAGATATTTACTCCTTAGGAGTTCTGCAATTACTTTTACTTGCTTTCTTTGTAAAATATAATTCATGGAAAAATAGTATTTCTGTATTATTATAAATCATATAAGAGCTAATAATATATGATAATTTTGTAGTCTAATTCTTTTAGGAAATGTTGGGTAGGTATTGGTGAATAATTTATATTTCTCAAAAAGAATCCAGTTTAGTGAAACTTAAATGGCTAAGTTAACATTAACAGGCAGTTTTATAGACCAAGCTATTTGAAAGGTCTCTGCTGTTTCTAATATTTATAGGTCTTTGACCTCTATATCCAATCAGGTAAATATTTGTAAAAAATAATGTTTTGTTCTAGCCAAAATTTATTTTCCTGATAAACTGTGCAATAACAAGTCAGATTAAGAAGTATATTAAAACTGATTTACACAATAATCATTTGCTAATTTGCATAATGGAGAAGGGTCTTCATGCTGAATCTTCTTAACCTTATTTTATTTGTCTGAAGGAGATGTGATTGAGGTAGTGGAGAATTCTGATACGGCATTATAGTTTTCTCAAATGAAATAATCTGTGCAAAACAGCACTAGCAAAAGTGATATATCCATTGCTTATTGTTTTGCCCTCATGGCTGTCTTATTTCACTAGACTTTACATTGTGCTAAATATCACTCTGGAGGATAATGCTGACATGCTTTTTAGTTTCAGTGTGACCTAATAAAAGCACAGTCTGCTGCCCTTTATATAGAAGAGCTGTTTTTATGAACTTACAATTTTGATAAGTATTCCGATAGCCAGCTTTTAGACATTACTGAAGAATACTGTTCCTCTGTCAGATAATTCAAAAGTCTTTACCTCTGTGCGTATATGTTAGAAACCTATAATCAGAAATCTTAATAAAAAGGTTAGTTGTAAAATATATTGACCTCAGAATCATGGAAATCTGTTACTTAATTCTAAGCATAGGATTATTAACCTTGGTTTAGGCAAGAGGATAAGAGAATTAACATTTATGGGTTTACTGTGTGCTGTGCATTTTATTGGGCACTTTGCACTCATCTCTTAAGATTTTAACAGATAAGGTATCTCAGGCTCAGAGTAGTTAAGTAACTTCTCTGAGATCCCACAAACCAAAAAATAGGGTAGTCAGGATTAGAACGTAGGGGCATCAGATTCTAAAGCTCTTATTTTTTTCAATTATACTAGATGTTATACATTATATGCGCTGGTAAGTGGAAGACCAAAGGGAGTACTTTTGGTGAACTAGAAGTTATGAGGTATCTCTGAAACAAAGAAGATAGGTATGATTGGAATGTAAGAGAAAACCATAGTACAGAATAATCTAAGGAGAAGATACATGCAAAAGCTTCAGTAGTGCTTTAAGCTCAGAACCAGTGAATGCAGGCAATGGAAAGGGAGACTTGGTAAATATTGGATATGTGGTCACTTTGAAACCTCTTCCACAATGTGTGCTCAGTGACAACAGAGATATCTGCCTTTTTTTTTGGATCAGTAGTTGTGGAGGCTTAGGCTAATAGGATAGTACCCAGGGTGAGCATGTCTTGGAGGAAGAAGGAATGCTCATACCCAGAAGACTAGGTACTGGCAGACTTTGCTTGGTGGCGTGATCTGCCCTTTCCCCACAACCACTGGATATGGGCTGGAATAAGCAGGTACAGTAGTTTAAGACAGATGTAGGGGATACAAATTAAAAAATTAAGATAGAACTTGGAATTGCCAAGAATTTGATGCAAACCAATACACTTGAAAGAGAATTATCCAACTACAAATAAAAGAACTAATAATTTAGGAAATAGTTAATAGAATACAGCTTAAGACCTATAAGTGTAAATAATACTCTTAAATACATGAGAATAATGTACATGAGAAATGTCAGAGGATATTTTAACCACATAAAAATCAATTAGTTATCTTTGGAAATTAAAATTTTGATTAGTGAAAAAATATTACAAACTCAGCAGATGGACATAATGGTGGTGTGGATGTGGCTGAAAAGTGAAGTAGCTATAAGATGAAGCCACAAAATTCTTCCACGATTCAGCACAGAATGATAAAGGGACACAAAAGTACTTCATTTATTTGCTTATTCAGTAAGTGTTTATTGAGAGTCTTACATGTACCAGGCACTATACTAAAGACTGATGATACAGCAGTGAACAAAACCAACTTTCTACCCTCATGGAGTTTATATTCTAGTGGGAAATGAGATTGTCGATAGACAATAAACCAACACAGGTAAATATAGACTAGATAAGATCTAGGTGAGTGAAGTGGAGAAAAAGGTAGGGTGAAGTAGATAGAGAGGGCCAAGAAGAGGAACAAATATTTTTATTTTATTATTTATTTTGGTTTCTATTTAGTTATTTACTTGGGACAAGGTCTCTCTCTGTTGCCTTGGCTAGAGTGCAGCGGGACAGTTGTACCTCATTGTTACCTTGAATTCCTGGCCTCAAGCCATCCTCTTACCTCAGCCTCCCTGAGTGTTGGGATTACAGGTGTGAGCCACCATGCTCGACCTTCTGTTTTATATAATTAATCAGAGGAAGCCTTACTGATAAGGTGATTTTGAGCAGAGACCTGAAGGAAGTGAGCCTTGTGAATATCTGGGGGAAGAATGTTATTAGGCAGAGGGAAGAGCAATACATGCAAAGGCTCCATATTGATCACATGCTAGAAATGTTCAAGGAACAAAGAGTAAAGAGGACAGTGTGGCTGGAACCGTAAATGAGGGTGAGAATGCCAAGAAACAAGTCAGAAAAATGGTGATGTGTGTGGGGTTGAATGGGTAATTATTAGAGCCTTATCATAGCAACTGACTAGAGGACTGGATGATATAGAAGAGAGTATTGATCATGAATCATTCTTTGCTTTCTTGAATTTCATATTGTCAATTTTTTTAGGATAGAATTCAGTGGCATTCTGATTTATCAGAGCAGCTTACGTATGCAGCTTTACAAATTAAGACACTTGAAACATTCCGTTAAATATTAAGATATCTGCTTCTAAGTAATAACTTTCATATTACTATATTGAGTGTCTTTAGTTCTTTCTCTTTTGCGATTATGCTGTGATGTTAATATCATGTAATTGCTATTTTAATAGCTTTAGCAACAAGACTGGATGTGAGTAATTCATATCAAATGTGATTCTTTACTATCTCATGAATTGGGTAATAGCAAGAACTGTACCATCTTCTTGTAAACATTATTGTTTTGCTTCAACTAAAATATTCCTTCAGTTTGCTCTGTGAAGTGTTGAATCATGAACAATAATTGCTCTTTGATCAGCTCATATTTGATGTTCTTGGGTATTAGGTTGTTATTGGATTAAGAAAGAAGCTTGCATTAATTTAAGAGTTGTTTTTAGCTACCTGTGTATATATTTAATGTTAAGTAATATATATGTACACCATGATGGTGTAGATTTTGCTGTTTTTCATGTTACAAGTCTGTAGCTTTAGGTTAAGATCTTTTATAGATAATGAGAGATAGCAAAAAATTTGTTGGCTACTTGAAATTTTAAGATTCAGTGCTTTATATGTATATAACCTTTTAAAATTTATATTATTTTTAAATCAATGTATATTTTCTATTTTCTCATTTTATTCTTTAACCCAAGTTACTAGCTTCCCAAGTTTTCTTTTTACTGACCAATTCTCTGAATTGAAAGTACAGCTTAATTTATATACACATGATTGGCATGGAAAGAAGGAAAATATGATTTGCTTTCGGAAACTCATACTCTACTGCTTAGCTGGGTTAAAGGAGCATTGAATGGAAATTTTCTTTAACCTCAATTGCTAGAATGGATTCGTATTACATAAAGAAATAATGCAGAAAACACTTGGCTTATTACATAATGATGCCCAAAAAGTGAGAACATTCCGAAGTTTGATAGTTGATCTTTATGTAACTTTTTTCTTTAATAGATACCATAAATTGGGAACAGGATTTAATCCCAACACATTAGATAAACAGAAAGAAAGGCAAAAAGGTTTGCCAAAACAAGTTTTTGAATCTGATGAAGCTCCAGATGGCAACAATTACCAGGATGATCAAGTAATACTTTTATTCTTAAATAACTTTAAGAAGTTATTTTAAAATAATTGTCAATTTATTTATTAATTAATATAATTATATTTAATGTTTTGCATGACAGGATGACCTTAAAAGACGTTCAATGTCAATAGATGATACCCCAAGGGGTAGCTGGGCCTGTAGTATCTTTGACTTGAAAAATTCACTTCCTGATGCTTTGCTTCCCAATTTACTTGATCGAACTCCAAATGAAGAAATAGACCGTCAGAATGATGACCAAAGGAAATCAAACCGTCACAAAGAACTTTTTGCTTTGCATCCATCACCAGATGAGGTATAGATGTTTGCATATAAAGAAGCAAATGATTATTAAAATCGATCTTTTGGGATTATGATTAATGTAGAGTATTTATTATAATAATGTAGAGGATAAAGCAACTGAAACATAGCTGTAATTTTTATAAATGAATACATTTTATACTAGTGAATTTCCTATTCTTAATGAGTAACTTATAATCAAATGACTTCTGTCTGTGGATAAATAGGTCTTTCTTTTCTATGTTCTATTGTGAAGACTAAAAGTATTAGATTAGTAAAGTAAGTTCTTAAAAAAAAGAGTTGGAATATGATAAGCATATTCATTTTGGTGTTGCTTTTCAATTTGTAGGAAGAACCAATAGAACGGCTTAGTGTTCCTGATGTACCCAAAGAACATTTTGGTCAGAGACTTCTTGTAAAATGCTTATCACTTAAGTGAGTATTTATTTATTTTACTTGCAGCTTTTGTTTTCCAGGATAAAATTTTAGTACTGGTGTAACAAAATCTGAGTAGATTTTATAGTTGTATTTGTGTCCTTTTGAGAAGTATTGTTCTACATGTCATTTTAAATGCTATTCAGCATTCAAACGTATATATGAAGCTGAGCCTACTGTGCTAAGCCTAACATATTTATGAAGCTAAGCCTACTGTGTAGCAAACGTAAAGTCAACTTTTAAATTCTGTATATCATTTTAAATGCTATTCAGCATTCAAACCTATGTATGAAGCTAATCCCTACTGTTCTAAGCCTAAGATATATATGAAGCTAAGCCTGCTGTGTAACAAATATAAAATCAATTTGATTTTCCAGTAGGCTTTGTTTTTTGAAGATTTTGATATATGTATTTTTTCCTTCTTGAAAAAACTTAGATCTGGTTTCTGCTAACATCATTGAGGTGATATATTTACATTCTGCTTTATGAAGTGCTTTCTCTTATTTCATGCTGTCATGTTAATATTTTAAGTTTAATTATTCGTTCCAACTTAAGAAAAAAGTTTTGATTCATAGAGCTTTCTGAAACAAGCAACTCATAGGGACAGACCATGTCTATATATAATTCTGGCAATTTCTTTCCTTGAAAGTTAAGGCTTTGTATATTTAGATTTATTCAGAAACATGTTAGATAGATTAAGTGCATTGAATCTTTTGAATAGCAGGACACCTAACATCAGTTCTTACGTATAGTCTTGTTTTGTTTTTTAACAGCTTTATTGTGATCTAATTTATATATCATAAAATTAACCCTGTTGAAGTATACAGGTTAGTGGTATATATTCACAGAGTTGTACAGCTATCATTACTGTCTAACTTGAGAACATACTCATTATCCCAGGAAGAAACTCCATGCCTGTATTAGTCTGCTCAGGCTGCTATAGCAGAACCATAGACTGGGTAGCTGAAATAATAGAAGTTTATTTCTCACAGTTGTAGAGGCTAGAAATCAAAGATCAGGGTGCCAGTGGGTTGGTTTCTCATGAGGCATCTCTCCCTGGCTTGCAGATGGCTGCTGCTTGCTGCATTCTCACATGACCTTTCTTCTGTGTATGCCCAGAAAGAGAGAGGTCGCTGGTATCTCTTCCTCTTCTTATAAGGATACCAGTTCCATGGGATTAGTGCTCCACTCTTAGGACCTCATTTAACCTTAATAAGCCCTTAAAGGGCTTATTTCCAATTACAGTCACATTGGGGGTTAGGGCTTTAACATACGAATTTTGGGGGATGATACTGTTCAGACCATAACAATACCTGTTAGTAGTCACTCCCCGTTCTCTTTTTTCCTCAGCCCCTGACCATCACTAATTTTCTTTCTGTCTCTATGAGCTCACCCATTCTGAATATTTCATGTAAGTGGAATTATATGTGGCCATTTGTGTCTGGTTTCTTCATACAGCATAATGTTTTCAATGTTCATCTATGTTTTAGCATATATGAGTAGTTCTTTTTTTTTCTTGAGACAGAGTCTCACTCTGTTGCCCAGGCTGGAGTGTAGTAGTGCAACCTCTTCCTCCCGGGTTCAAGCAATTCTCCTGTCTCAGCCTCCCGAGTAGCTGGAATTACAGGCACCTGCCACCACACCTGGCTAATTTTTTGTATTTTTAGTAGAGATGAGGTTTCACCATGTTGGCCAGGACGGTCTCGGTCTCCTGACCTCGTGTTCTGCCTGCCTCAGCCTCCCAAAGTGCTGGGATTACAGGTGTGAGCCACTGTGCCCGTCCGGGTAGTTCATTTTTTTATATGACTGAACAATATTGCACTGTGTGGATACACCACATTTTGTTTATCCATTTATCAGTCAGTGAGCATTTGGATTGTTTCTACTTTGAAAAGAAACATAGCTTTATTGAAGTATAATTCACATATTATGTGATTCACTCAATGTATATTCAGTGTACAGTTCACCAGTGAGTTTACCCAGTTCACCAAGAATGCAATCAGTGGATTTTAATATATTCTCAGATCTGTGCAACTATTATTTCAATAAATTTTAGAGTACTTTCATCATCCTGAAAAGAAATTTCGTATTTGTTAGTAGTCACTCCCTGTTTTCCCCAACTCCTCCATCCTTAGGCAACCACTATCCTACTTTCTGTCTCTACACATTTGCTTATTCTGACTATTTCCTGTAAATGGAATCATGCAATATGTAGTCCCTTTTTTTTTTAACTTAGTTTTTCATAGTATTTTAAGGTTCATGCTGTAACATGTGTCAGTACTATAATTTCTTTTTATTCCTGAGTGATATTCCATTGATGAATATGCCACATTCGGTTTATCTATTAATCAGTAATGATTGCTTCCACTTTTTGGCTGTTACAAATTAAGTTCATAATTTGTATATAGGTTTTTATGGGACATGTGTTCTCATTTCTCTTGAGTATATACCTAGGATAGGAATTATGGTTAGTATAGTAACTCCATGTTTAACTTTTGGAGGAGTTATCCAGACTGTTTTCCAAAGCAGCTGCACCATTTTACATTACCACTAGCAAGTTAGGATGATTCTAATTTCTCCATGTTTCACCAACATTTGTTATTACCTGTGTGTGTGTTTTTTTTTAAATCATAACCATTCTAGTGGGTGTGAAGTGTTGTCTCATTGTAGCTTTACTTATGATTTTCTTGATTAATAAAAGTTACAAGTTTGTTATTTCTCTCTTAGAGAAATAAAATATAGAATTTTTTTTTTTGTACAACTCTATTTTCTTTAGCTTTGTTTGGCTCATTAAAAATTCTAAAGTAATAATTATATACATCTGATTTGTCTATGATAAGAAAAGTCCAGGTTTAAAGTGAGGAAGAACTTGAGGTCACAAAAGTTCAGAAAGAGTCAGAAATGATAGCTTTACTTTAGCTCATTATAGAAACTGATATATTTTTGAAAATTGTTTCTCTTACATTTTGTTCCCTAAGAACAGCCTTTCTTTATCCTGGATGAGAAAATTATTTCTACTACTAAGAAGACTATTAGTCAGTAACATAGTGATTTATACATTCAGGGGAATATCTTCTAGGCATGGTCAAGTTGATATGAATTTAGCCAAGAAATGCTAAGAAATCATAATTTCCCAGGAGTAAGTGTTCTGTAGCTAATTTTACATTAGGGCTATTGCTCTTACTCGTTTTAATGGGCTACAAGGAAAAGAGCTTGGCATGCAAGCAGGATAGAAACACTCTTGCATAAATGCCTAACACCAGATTTCACGAGAGTAATACTAGAAATGGTAGTGATATTTGTTTGCTGCAACTTCAGCTTTGGCAGGGAAAAGTCAGACAGGAAACAGGAAAAAATAAAAAGAGAAAACTCTGAGAATTCCTAGTCATAAGCTTACCTACTATACGTGTGGCTCAAAAAATTCCAAGGCAAAAGTTTAAAGTGATTCTAGGTTTGCGGTGGCCCTAGGTACCTGGCAGAAGCATACATTAATTGTTTTTAGAGGAATTCGCTTTAAAAATTTAGGCCTCAAAATATTTCTACAGATAAAGTTTCAGCTCCAGTCATAAATCAACAAACATGGCGAAACAAACTGCAGACCTGAAAAGGACTACCAGTCAGATTTAGAATATAAGTACTTTTAATATATTTAAGTAAATAATTATTTTAAAATATTATAATGGAACAAGAAACTGTCAGATTTGACCAGGAAGATTTTGAAAAGATTCATGTGATCTTTTTCAAGATTTTATAATTGAAATTATAAATCCATTTAGGTGGGCTCAACATAGATTAGATAAAACTGAAGAGTGAATAAGTGAACTTGATCATAAAACAACAAACTTATACAAAATGTACACAAAGATGTAAATAGATGGAAAATAAAGTGATATCAACAAAAAGTCTAATTTGAATTCTAGAATGGAAATAACTTAGGGAAGAAGAAAACAGTTATTAAAGAGATAATGGCTGAGAATTGTTCAAAATTTATGAAACATAGTAGTAACTCTCAATTCTGGATGTCTAGTAGGATCTAGGAATAATAAATAAAAAGAAATTCGTATCCAGACTAAACATAGTAAAAATGGAGAATACAAAACCAAGAAACTATATTAAAAGCGGCCAGAGAGAAAAAGAGATCCTATGTAAAGATATTACAATTAGCCGTCAGGCGCAGTGGCTCATGCCTGTAATCCCAGCACTTTGGGAGGTGGAGGCAGGCGGATCACGAGGTCAGGAGATCGAGGCCATCCTGGCTAACACAGTAAAACCCTGTCTCTACTAAAAATACAAAAATTTAGCCGGACGTGGTGGCGGGCGCCTGTAGTCCCAGCTGCCCGGGAGGCTGAGGCAGGAGAATGGTGTGAACCCAGGAGGCGGTGCTTGCAGTGAGCTGAGATCGCGCCACTGCACTCCAGCCTGAGTGACAGAGCGAGACTCCATCTCAAAAAAAAAAAAAAAGAAAAAAGAAATTATAATTAGGCTAACAGCTGATTTATCACAGCAGCAATGGAAGCCAGAAGACATTGAGTGTTATCTTCAATGTTGTTAAGAGAAAATAACTGTTGACCACAAACTTCATACCCAGTAAAATTACCTTTCAACAAACACATTCTTGAAGCAGTTAGTTTTTGCTACACTCTAAACTACCTTAAGATGTAATGTTTTAAAACAACAGATGTTCAGTATTTCTCATGATTCTGTGGGTTATCTGGGTAGTTCTTGTAGTTTGGGCCAATTTGGTTGGGATTGGATGATCTCTAAAGGAGTTGTGCATGTCTGGTAGTTGGCAGGCAGGTTGGTCTAGGAGTCTCTCGTTTATGTATTTGGCAGTTGGCTTAATGTCAACTGGGAAAGTAGCTATGCTTTTCCCATTGTTCAGTGGGCTGACCTGGGCTTGTTCATGTAGTGGTGGAAGGGTTTTCAGAAAAAGGAGAGTGGAAGCTGTAAGACCTCTTTGTGGCCTTGGATTAAAACTCTTACAGCATATCATTTATTGA